ATTTATAATATAAATATTTAAGTGGTTGATAAAATTTAATATTTTAATTAATTTTATCTAAATATTAAAATTAAAGATAAACCACTAGATTTTATCCAATTATAAGGTTTTCTAGTAACATTTCTAGCTACGTAAGTACATATGCCTTCTGTCATTCTTTACGGGCTCCACACAATTTGCGAGAATAACTCAAAGGGCTGCCCCCTTTTTTTTTTTTCTTTTTTTTTTTTGTGTGGAAAATGCTATGTATCAAGGAAAATGGATGGTGACATCTTTATATGGCCACGTTTTCTCACATTTTTCCCTTTTTTATCATTGGCTAATATGTGAAGGTAATAAATAATTTGTGGCAAACAAATTACCTATTCAATGATGATATTTTTTCTTACTGTAAATTTAGTTGTGGTGGTGGAGGACAGCTATGATTATACCTATATAAATTTTTGTGAAGGCAACACAGATATATTGTAAATTTATTTGATTTGATTAATTTTATTAATTTATAGATAATTAGTATGTTTAAAAATATTAGTATATAAGTTGATATTAAATTATTAAATAGTAAATATTAATTTAACAATTACAATTGTCGTTTAATCTTTAGTGGCCTAGTTACCACCTTCTTGAAAGAATGCGATGGACATATAGACTTGGGTTCTAATCTCAAGCCTTACAATTCCCTTCCCTTAAAAATTCCCCTTTATTAAAAAAAAAAAAAAAAACAATTACAATTGTCGTCCAGCACTTCGAAATCTACTAACCCCTCTTTGCAGGGCATACTTAGGACTATCAAGACCTATGTTCTATTTTCGATCCCCTTTCTCTTTTTTCCGAAAAAATTTTTCTATTGTTAAAAAAAAAAACAATTACAATTGTCAGTACTTTTTAATAATGAAACCAAAATCCATTTACCATATTTTCATGCGACCATAGCCATGTCTGTGGACTTGTCTGCATTAAGATGGGACAACTCTATTTCAATTTCTTTCAAATCATGTTGTAAGTTTTTTTGTGTAGTACTATTTTTTCGCCTTCTTCTATGTAGTACTTAATTACATATTTTTGCCATATAAACATCTCATTTGTGTTATTGTGCAATTGATCAAATGATTTGCAATATTACGGCATAAATTAACCCTTTAACTTAAAGAGTTTGGAACCATCATTTATAACTTACATTTACATGCAATTTAAAAAAGACAACTTTTTGAAGGGCGCTGTTAAATAAGTTCCCTAATCAAAAGAGGAAAAAAAAAAAAAAAGTGTTAAACGAGTAAATGACCCATTTAGGTACCGTTTGAAGTTGGGGGACCAACTTAATACCTATCACATAAGATAAAGGACCGAAAAAGGATATATAGGCAAAAGAGAACTTTCTTTACTCTCCCTTGATTGCAACTTGGCACCTTCGGTCATGTGCACCAATAGACAAAGTTAGCTACAAAGTTAACGTCACTGCACGCCATTGTTATGAAATCTGTGGCAAGGATGAGCAAGAAAATCAAGTCGCGTTTCCATCAGACGGTAAACACCAAACAATTTGCTCCCATCGGTGGGTCCAAAACGGTTCTTTGTACCGCCCTGGTAGGCTCCATTTGGTTGTTTATTTGGGTAACTTTACGGGTCATGGCTCAGTTTGTAGTATAGAAAGTCTACAGTTTTATATGCCATATACAACATTTTTCAGTACTGCTTCACCATTCTACCTGTTCACTTCCCCACCCCCACCCCTCCCTTCTATCCTCACTTCTTCTTCTTCTTCTCTATTTCTAGCTCTTTTCAACACCGTTCTTTCGACGTCCGATGCTGATCCTTCCCGTGATTTTCCACAGCTTTCTTGAACTGTGTCGGAGTTTAATTTCCGGCCATGCAATCCGTAATGCGACAGGAGAAACAATTCAAGAAAGTTGTGGAAAATTTCGCAGAGGATCTGATATATGAGGATCTGATGATTTATCTCTCTTCGTCCTATACTGGGGAATTCAATCCTTTTTTTTTTTTTACTGAATTCTTCGAGTTTGCTCAAAATCATACATATTTCCTATCTTTTCTAAACTTAATTTTTTCACTCTTTTTCCCCAAATTTAGCTATGATAAATTTGCTATATACTTTTAATTATATGTTTCTACAATAGCGTATATATATATTTTTTCATGTGCCATGCCTTTAGTCTAGTTCAAACCTAATTCCCTTCCCCAATTTTCTTTCTTTTTTGCTTAATTTACTCTTCATGAATTTGCATTTACTTGTAGCATCTTAGAATATCAAATATTCTGTTTGACGGCTTGAGTTTGTAGTAAGGTAGGGAACTGGCTACTCTTGAATTGCATTCACCAAAATTCAACTTAAGGCACAAATTTGAATTTAATAGTTTTAATTTTCAATTTAGTATTCTATTCTAGTGATGGAAATAACAATAGTATCAATTAAAGAAGCTAGCTAGGATCTGGCTTTCATTTCGAAGATTGTTGAAGATGAAAGATAATTGTTTCTCATGATATAATTTATAATAAAAATTTGTTAATATTATGTTTAGTTTGGAGAGAATGTGAGGGAATGGGTGAAAATTACTCTATTTAGTTAATAAAAATTTTAAAAATGAGAGAGAGTTTATCCAAATGAGAAAAGGGAACAGAAGTGAAATGAAGAGAAATTGAAGAATGTCATATCCTTCCATTGCCCTCCTTTCTTCTTTGTTTCTCTTAAACCAAATATATTGTAAAGTGCTTTATCTTGAAATGCGTGGCTATTCTATGTTCTTGCCGGTGATTAGATGTTCAAAAAAAAAAAAATGCATGGTCCATTTTGAAAAAATTTAGAAGTTTTAGGGTGTTCTTATGGTCTAATGACCCTGGGCCTGTTGATTGGAGCTTTTGCAGCAACATTGGGGTTAGACCCAAATAAGAAGCCCAACGGTTCAGACAAGCAACCTTAAAAGGCCATCGTACACTAGAAACCCAAATGTTGGGCTTGATGTCCTGTTCTAGTGTTCTAGCTTCAAGGCCCCATGAAAATATAGAAAATAACGCCTTTGGGAAACGGCTCGGTAGTTTTGGGAACTTTTCCCGTTCTTGCCGGTGAAGCAGCCCAATGCAGATGGCAACGAAGACAGGTAGCTACCAACGACCTGTTCGCTAGGGTCGACAAAAATTTTGTTTCCTTTAAATAAAAACTTTAGTTTTAATTTTATAAATAAAAAATAAGTATTAACAAAATTTTTTTTTTATAAAGTTCAACGTAATTTAATTTTGAATTAATTAAGATCCAACGCGACTACAAGATATTAAGAGTTAATACATATAAAAAAAAAAGGTAAGTAGCCTTTTAATCCTCTTTATTTGTTGTTTTTCTCTAAGAGAGCCCTCAAATTCTATACTATTAATAATTTAGCCCTTATATTTTTAATGGGAAAAAACCTGCAATTTATCAATTAACCTGCATAAATCTACTCAGATTGGTCATTGAAGCTCACAATTCGCTTGCAATTAGCGCGGCCAGGGACCAAGACTATATAGGTTCAAAAGCTACTACGGCATGCACTATTGGTTAATTAACAGCAAATCATAGGGGAAAATTACAACCCTAGTAAAAATTAGTGAGTATGAAGATTGTCCCTTAAGAAGAGCTGAAGCTGGTGTTGAGAGTGAGACAACGTTAATAGAACATTCTTTGAGAGAATGACATAAATTTAAGATTTAAGGCATAGAGAAAAGCTTGAAAAAAGTTTATAATATAATTGTTGTACCACGTTAACAATGTGATTTCTTTGTTTATTATAAAACACTAATAATATAATCAATTAATAATAACTTGACATGTAATCAAAATAAAAAAAAATTAAATTTATTATTCATTTACCTGAATATACATAAATCAACATACAACCACACTTGTGAACTATGATAATATATCAAAATTATCATTAAACAATTATAAATCAACAATATAATGATGGCCCGAAGACCTTCTCAATTCACACAAACTTGGGCTGTTTGGTGTGGCTCCTAGGAGCTTCAGCTTCTGAATACTATTAATGTCTCATGAATTTATATTTTTCTCTTAAAATTGTACATTTTTAAATATTTTTTTAAACTAAAAAAACTCTTAAACAATAAAAGTTTTCAAGTTTCAAATTCAAACTTTTTATAAATTCTTTTTTTACTTACTTTTCACTCACTATTTTATATTTTTAAAAGCTAAAACTTTATTTTTTCCTTCAATAAAAATTTAAATTTATCATTCATAACAATACTAAAAAAGCAAAAGCTCTCACAAGTCATACCAAACAGACTCTAAGAGTTAAAAGTCCTCATTTAGAAAAATTAGGAATTTAGTCCTTTTCTGAAAATAAATTTCTAAAACTGCTATCTTAAAATTATATTTCGTTAAACCACAATTTTTTTAAAAGAAAAAAATAATATACAATTTAAATTATATTAAAATATATAATATTAATTATTAAATAAAAATAGGCCTATTATAAAGTGTCCTCTATTTACTGTTCATGTTTAACCGTCCGGTGACTTGAAGGAAAAACAGATTCCATTTTAGAATTATCGATTAATTAACCCATGAATTAGAATTAATTTCGAATAAATAAATAAAGAAAAAGGCGAGATGGAATTTTCGATACGAAGGACTTAAACAGTAGCATCCAGGATTCCTTTCGTCCTTCACTGGGAAGGCCAAAAACGAACAGATTTCGAAGAAGGTGACACAGCCTCCGCTTTGCTCCGCCGTGTTGCCACCTTCTCCTCTCCTCTTTATGCGTGCTCCGTCGTTTTGTGCTGGAATAAAGCTGTGGAACGAAATTGCGGGGTGACGTGTTTTCAAGTTTTCTTCTTTTGTCTGCTTTCTCTGAGCCGATCACATAAACCCTAGCTCTTTCTCTGTGAATTGGAGAGGGAGGCTGATCGGATGTTTGATTGAATGTTCCTTGTCGTTTTTTTTTTGGGAGAGGTAGGCAGAGAATTGTAGAGAGAGTGGGGGAAGATGCAGAGACGGAGTCCACCGAAGCACAGGCACGATGGGACTTCGCCGCTGCCTCTCGGGATGGATTGGAGTCCTCCGCCCAGAAAATGGGTTAGTTTCCGAATCGAATTTTTCATTGATTTTATTTGATTCAGTGAAATATCTCTGAAATCCCAATGAGTTTGTACTTTAATTATAGAAATGTGCAGAAATTTTCATAATTTGATTTGTTCCACTAGAACCTGCAACTTTAAAAAGCTCTTTTGCAGATGAAATTTCAGCCATCTTGTTAAGCTAGGTATCTAGTCAATCCAGGGTATTGAATCCCGGTGGTCAAAATGAACTAATAGTCACTGGGATTTTAGAATCCCAAATCAGTGTTTTAAGTATTGGATACTAGTATTTCTTGGTTAAATCCATCTAGAGGAAAGAAGAATAAATTAGTATGTGTCTGGATGTTGTATATATGGTCTATGATGAAAAGATGATTAATTTACCCAAACATAATTAGCTTTGTTTGCTAGATATTCAGGCACATGTAATTGTTTGCCTTCTTAAATGAAATGGATGTGACATTTATTGCTTAACGGATATTTAATTAGTTCTCTACATACGTCAACTTAATAAAGTTTCAAACTTTTGGTTTTTTGCTTTCCATTTCTACAATCCACCAAATATGTACATCAGCTATTTTTTGTCCACGCAATTTTGAACTTGCATCTGGATTTTGATAAGCAATCTGGTGAATCCTCCAAAGTAATCAGGTTTTGTAGAGTGAATTTAATATTTTACTTTAAATGAAAATCAAGGCTGAGGCTTCATGGATGTGCATTTTGAGTTAAATCTTCACTTTCTCGGCTTCTCCCATCTTTTACAGTCTGCTGAAGTGCTGACACCAAGCCAGATTTTGTTTCTGCAAATGTTATGTGATAGAGCTTAAATTCCTGCTCCTCTATCAGCTTCTTTCAATTAAATTGTTTGGCTTTATAAAAGGTTGTGATTGAATTAGTATTTATGGCATGGTTCATCTGTCCTTTGCAGAATGGGCAGGAAACTGTTTGGCCACATGATCCTCACACAGGATGGAGTTACTGTGTTACAATACCTTCTTGGGTTGTCCTCCCAAAATCAAGAGATTCGGATCCTGTAGTGGTACTCAAATTGATCCTCATCAAGTGTTAATATATGCCAGCGATTAGATGTGTTTCTAGTTTGTTTTGTAGGGTTTGCCTTATTAGTTTAATGGAAATCAATTGCAACATATGAATGTTAATGTTGCTTTACAATTTAAAATTTTGTAATATATTACTTCTTTTTATTGCACTTCAGAAAAATTTTAATAGAAGATAGGAATTACATATGGTTGAACTTTATGTCTTAAGAATTTTGGACTTTCTGGAGTTCAGTTTGATGGTGTTACTAATTCTTCAAACCAATGGCATACTATTATTTGGATTAGAGAAGTCTGCACAGTCATTCTCTAGTGACCCTCCTTGAACAACTATGAAGTATTTCTAGGTCTTGAAACAACTTGAAAGCAATTTTATAATTTATAGATTCTTAGTCAAGTCAAATTGGTGATGCATCAATTTTTCTGAAATCTCTAGCCAATTTGTCTGTGAAATATTGCTGGTATCTTCAAAATGTACTTTTGCTAGCTACACGAGAGAAAGTATATTCTTTGTGTTGTTTCCTCTCCTTTTATATATTCTGAATGCTTCTAGCTGCTGCAAAATATCAGATGTTTATTTGGTGAATGTACACACTGAATCACATTATGATGTTTGTATTTTTTTTGTTTATCATATGAATTCTACAATGTTCTATGTTAACATTCTTAAGGGGCAGTTCTACAGGGTTCAGGTTGGTGTACAATCACCGGAAGGGGTTACAACCACGCGTGGAGTGTTGAGAAGATTTAATGACTTTTTGAAGTTATTTACTAATGTAAGTGGCATTTTGGTAAAGCAAGAATTTCCCCTTTTGTTTCACCTGTAAGGAAACTCAAAGACATAATTGCTTGAGTATCATTATGGCAAACAATGGGTTGTCAGTTCTTGTTGTAAAATATAATATACTAACCTAAGGACTTTCTCATATATGTTATTTGTCTTCTACAGCTTAAAAGGGAATTTCCAAAGAAAAGTCTCCCACCTGCTCCACCCAAGGGACTATTGCGTTTGAAAAGCAGGGCACTCTTGGAAGAGGTAGGCACTTCATTTTTCGTTTCATTTATATTGCTTATTTCTTTCTTCTATGCTGCCTAACATCTGTTATCTAACCATGTTAGGCTACTTTTTTAGTTCATGGCAAGACATGCTTCCTCAACTGGTTGGCTAGAGCATGGTTTCATAATTTCTCTACTGTGATTACTAATTAGTAGAAGAAATCAACAGTTGGTAATTAGGTGCAGTCAATCTTCTGAAATCTGTGAATTTTACGCTATTTCCAACTTTCCTGTTTTCATGAAAGTGCAATATTCATAGGTGCTTATATGATAAAGAAAGTTATAGGAAAAAAAATTTATTATTGCCAGGATGGGTACTGGGTACTTTTGAAGGGAAAGAGCAGTGGAGATCTTTTCTTAGTTATTGTTTCAACCATAAAGTGCATGGTCAATGGTGCTATCATGGGGACTTAGTTTAAGATCCTCTTGTTTTTAGTCTCTATTTCAAAATGGACATCAGAAACCAATAAAATATTCTTTCCCAACCAAGATTCAACATGGTCTTCAAATGTAATATTGGTCAGCCATAAGAATTCATAGAACTTTTATTTAGAGTTGATTTATTTTGAAGTTAAATTGAGGAAGTTCTACCTCTTTTTATGTGGGCGGCCAACATCTTAAAAGAGGCTTAATTTTGTTTCAGAGAAGGTGCTCATTAGAAGAATGGATGACAAAGCTACTATCTGACATTGATTTGTCAAGAAGTGTTGCAGTGGCATCCTTTCTTGAACTTGAAGCCGCTGCAAGAACTTGTAGGTGCCATTTCACTGCATAAGTTCAAGGCACTTGTTTTACGGATATTTACTTGTGTTAAAGCATTTTTAAGTTGCACAGTAGCACCATATGTTTATATGACCACTTTTAGTCAAGATTTTTCTTATAATTAGCTAAGAGGTTTTTTACCTTTAATGAAACTCTTTTCAGCATTTCAAGATGTAAATGAAGGCTCGTCAGAAGCAAATGCTTCTGAAAATGGCACAATTTCATCATCTCAGGTTCTCTCAAGGCAGAGCTTACCTCCCCCTGCTGGTCCTTCATCAATCTCATCAGATTATGGTAGTGATAGTGCATATGAGGCCTCTGAGCTTGGAACGCCAAGATTAGGAAGAGATGGAAGTTCTGAACTTGGTCTTGAGGAGCTGATGCTGGATGGGGATTTGACTGGTCCTATAGAAAAATTTGTAAAGTATGGTATGGCCAACATTGATGAGGGGCTTTTTATGGGACAGACAATTCTAGACCAGCTTGAAGGTTTTCCTAGGCATAAAGCACACACTGGAAACAGCAATAATACTGAGAGAAAAGATACATATGTTGGAAATGATTCTAACGATTCAATTTTTGCTGGTAACGGATTGGAGCTTTTCTCGGAGCCAGAGCTGGGTAAGGTGGTTAGTCATGCTAGAAAGCTATCAGCTGAAAGTGTTGGAAGTGACATAAGTTCTCTAAAAGGCAGTGAAATGTCAAACTCTTGCATTCCAAATTTACCTGGTGATGCCTCTCTCGATCCTCATGGAAGTGTTGAGGAGTCAAGTATGACTGGAAATCTTGGCAATTCAGAATTCCAATTTTCAGGTGATGTAAAGATCCTTCTTCCTTTGGATCAGCGTCATAAGATGAATAGAGTTCTTTTGGCCATGCAGCAGAGGCTAGTCACTGCAAAAACAGACATGGAGGATCTCATCTCAAGATTACATCAAGAAATAGCAGTGAAAGATTACCTTACAACAATGGTATGTCAAACAATATTAAATATTCCTTTGTAAGATGTTAGTTGTTTGGTATTGCTTGTGGCAATTGCCATAAGTAAAATGAGCATCTGAAGGGTATGAGAAGGCTGATATTGAGTTGGTTTATTATTTATTTCAATCTCATGCTTTGCTCACTTTCTCCATGTGCTGGCTTGTAAATTCCACAATACTACTTATTTGCACATAGCCAGTGCCTTAACTGATTTGATCTTTGCTTAGGTCAAAGATTTTGAAGTTGAACTCGAAACTACAAAACAGAAAAATAAAGAAAACCTGCAGCTGGCTATTTTGGATGAAAGGGAAAGGTTTACTAAAATCCAGTGGGAAATGGAGGAACTTCGACGGAAATCCTTGGAAATGGAGTTGAAGTTGCATGCTAAACAGGTTATATACTTGCATTTTTATTATTCCTAAAATCTTTGTACAATGTCATGCTAAACAGGTAGTTTCAAGGTTCCCTAGAATAAAAATATTGACTATTAATTATGGCCTTGAAACCCTTTCAGAGTGAAAAACCAAGTGCAGAGCCAACAGAACAAGCTGCTCCTCAGGAGAAAGATAGGATGTTGCATGAGTTGGATGCTACCAAAGAGCAGCTTGACAATTTATCGAGAAAATATGAAGAGCTGGAGGCAAAATCAAAAGCAGATATTAAAGTCCTCATTAAAGAGGTTAAATCCCTTAGGAATTCACAAAGAGAACTAAAGCATGAACTGGGTCAAACAATTATGGAAAAATCTGAAATTGAGGTATGAATCAAAGCATTTTTGATATATTAAGTTTCTCCCTAATGTTACTGCAAATCACATGCAGTGGTCAAAGCCAGATATCTTTTCACTGTGGTCAAGTTGCCATTTTTTTAAAAAAAAATTTCTCCTTTTATTGTCGTGTCACTTTTTCATGGTAGTCCTTGAAACTTTCAGAAACTCCTTCAGCAGGAAAGGCAAACTAGTGAGCATGCAAGAACCACTAGAGAAAAGCTGCTTAGTAAATGCAGAGTTTTACACAACCAACTTCTTGAATGCAATGTCAATTTGTCCATTACTGATGGTGAAAATTCAGTAGTTGATTCATCCTCAATAGAAGATGCATTGGATTTGTTGACTACATCTGACAATAAAATTAGCCTCCTACTCGCTGAGGTACCTGCTTTTCTTTGTATTACTCTCTCTGATGTTCTTTCCTCCTCTTTTTTTTTTCCCCTTTGGCTTTCTGCATGTTCCTTCCTTGATCTATTTCTTTTCTCGTAACATCTTTGCTGCTGTGGAATTTTTCCTTTTTCATCATAACATTCTGAAGAAGAATTTTTCATAAAAATTTGTATCAGGTGCAAGCATTAGAAAAGGATGACATAACTACTTCCGTGGACATTGATAAAGCGCATGGAAATGATCAAGTTATGAGAATAGATGATGAGTTGAGGAAGTTGCTAGCAATTATCTTAGTAGACAATGCTAAATTAAGAAAGCAGGTGAACTCTCTGATACGGCATAGTCTAAATACGGATATCATGTCTACCAATAATAATACAGAATCAAGTGAGTCGATGGAAAGATGAAATGAAAACTGAGTAGATATATTTTTTACATTTTACAGAATTATACAGTCTCCCCATCTTTATTAGTGTTCCTAGCAATCTACTGTCATAATAATCATGAATCACAATCTCAATATTACTTGTACAATTGCCGGTAACTCATAAAAGCTGATCTCCAGTTTTTGTTTTTGTAATATGTTTTATGACCTGAATGTAATACAGAGACAGAAAAATAAGATAGAAAACTGAAAATGATTTTCCTTCATTCATGTTGTATGGTCATTTTGGTCTAAAGCACCCTTATTTTTTCTTCTTCGTTTTTTTTTTTTTTTTTTCCCTTTTTTTGGTGTTTCAGTTGACAATTTACGTATTATTACCTCATGTTGCCCATTCTGTCAGAATTGTGGATCATTATCATGAGAGTTGTCGTCATGGTAATCAATTACTATTATTATGATCATCATGGTCATCATCAATTAGTGTTATTATCATTATGGACATCATCATTGTCATCATTTGGGCAGGATTTGTGAGGAATAATGGCTAAATGCAAGAAATAGGCTATTAACTATGTGGCCTATATTAGTTTAGTTTACAAACTTTTTTTTTTTTCTTAAAGTAATCTATAAATTATTAATTTTGTATATTCAAATGATCTATTTTACCAACATCCATTGACTAA